GCAAGATGGCGGCATAGGTAAACACGGTATCGCCTCCTCCCCCAACCACATCAAAATTACAACTAAACTACAACACAGCCAACATTCAGAACTGCCTGAAATCAAGCTAAATGGAAGTCCTACAACTACGAAATTAAAGAAACAGCCATGAGACTGGTAGGAGGGGCAGAGGCACGAACAGGTTGGTCCCACACCCACGTGTGGCAGATAAAAATCAGGAGGATACCTCAGCTGGGAAGGTCCTTCCTGAGGACTGAGGGGTCTCCTTTCCACACCAGGCACCCAGCTCTGGGTTCCAGTGCCAGGATGAGAGGTCCCCATAACTTCTGGCTGGAAAAACCAGTGGGAACTGAGGCTGAGGAAGGCTGCAACTGCCAGAGCCCCAGACAGCTCCTCTTAAAGGGCCAGCGCTCGGATTTAGACTTACTCCCTCTAAGCTCGGAGGGGAGGCAGCTTGAAGGGCACCAGAGACATACAGGGAAGAACTGAGCTGTTTGGTCTTGGGACTAGGGCTGAAGAGGCAGCTTTCTCTCAGACAGACCTGGGCACCTCTGAGCCCAGCACAAGAAGCAGCCATCTGCAGATCACTTTGTAGCTTATGCCAAGTGGCCTTGGATAGAACACAGGCAGTGGCTGACCTTGCCCCAGAGCCAGCATACCCAGTGGACAGCTTCAAACCACATCGAAACACCACCACCCAATCACCTCCATAAGTGACACACTCAATGAGCGGACTCAGGGGGTACCAGAGCCCTGATGAAGTAAGTCTTGCTCTGTGTAGTGGGCCCTATACAGCTAATCCTCCAAAGTAGTCAGAGGCCAGGGGGCCATTGGCACAGCCAGTTCTTGCAGCTGATCAGCCTGAGTAAATCCCTCCAAATGACATGCCAACAGCAATCAAGACTCAATTACAGCCCTGGCCAGTTTGGTTCAGTGGTTAGAGTGTCGGCCTGCGCTCCAGAGAGACCCGGGTTCAGTTCCCGCTAAGGGCGTGAACCTTGGTTGCAGTTTTTCCCCGGCCCTGGTTTGTTGTGCGGGTGGCAGCCGCTCGATGTGTCCCTTTTACGTTGATGTTTCTCTCTCTCTCTCTCTCTTCCTCCCACTCTATCTGAATAAAAAATGGAAAAATGTCCTCGGGTGAGGATAAAAAAAAAAGACTCAATTACAACACAAGGGTGTACAGTCCACACTAGGGGTGCACTTCAAGGGCCCAGCTGGGGTGATGAGGAAGGCTGTGCCACTGGATCCTACAGGATACCTACAACAAGAGGCCACTCTACAAAGTCTAGGAGACATAGCAACTCTACCTAATACAAAGAAACAATTACAGAGAAGCAGCCAAAATGAGGAGACAAAGAAACATGTCCCAAATGAAAGAAAAGAATAAAACTCCAGGAAAAGAATGAAACAAAATGGAGATAAGCAATCAATTAGATGCAGAGTTCAAAACACTGGTTATAAGGCTGCTCAAGGAACTTGGTGAGACCTTTAAGAAATTTAAGGAGAACTCCAAGGAACTTAGTGAGAACATCGACAACATAAAAAAGGACCAGTTGGAAATGAAGGTTGCACTAACTGAAATAAAAAATAATTTACAGAGATTCAATAGAGAGTAGGAAAAGCCAAGAAACAAACCATCAATTTGGAATGTAAGGAAGCAAAAAACACCAAATCAGAAGAGCAAAAAGAAAAACAAATCCGCCCTGGCCGGTTTGGTTCAGCAGTTGGAGCGTCGGCCTGCGGATCAGAGAGTCCCAAGTTCAGTTTCTGCTAGGGGCACGTACCCAAAAAGGAAATAAATAAATAAATAAATAAATAAATAAATGATATGGTACATTTACACAATAAAATGCTATGCAGCTGTAAGAAAGAAATCTCTTTCCCTTTGAGACAGCATGGAGGGACCTAGAGAATATTATTCTAAGTGAAATAAGCCAGTCAGAGAAAGACAAGCACTACTTGATCTCACTTCTGTGTGGAACATAATGAACAAAATAAGCTGTGGACCAAAAGAGATCCAGAATCATGGAAGTAAGGAACAGACTGACAAATAGAAGAGGGATGGGGGCTGGGAGGGGTGGGAAGAGATAAACCAAAGAACTGATATGCATATATGCACAACCAATAGACACAAACATTAGGTTGGGGAAGGCAGGAGTTAGGTGGGAGCGGGAATGAGGGGGTCAATGGGGAAAAAAGGGGGACATCTGTAATACTTTCAACAATATAAAAAAGAAATTATGTGACACAATCATGGTGGTAGCTACAATGGTAATCATGATGCAATATAAATGTATCAGATCAATACGTTGTAAACCTTAAACTGCCATAATATTATATGTCAATTATATCTCAACTGAAAATAAAAAGAACTCACTCAGTAGAACTCATGTACTAAGACAGACTGACTACATTTATATCTATATTTCATGTTTGCTTTCTTTTTTTAAGTATTTTTTTCTTTATTACTTTTAGAGAGAGAGGAAGGGAGAGGGAGAGAGAGAGAGAAACATCAATGAGAGAGAACACTGATTGACCGCCTCCTGCATGCCCCCCACTGGGGATTGGGCCCACATTCTGGGCATGTGCCCTGACTGAGAATTGAACCAGTGACCTCTTGGTGCATGGGTTGACCACACTGGCCGGGCATGTTTGTCTCCTTTAAAATATACATACAATATACAAAATATACAATTACCATTTTAATCATCTGTAAGTGTCAGTTCAGTGGCATTAAGTGCATTCACATTGTTGTGCAATCATCCCCACCATTCACATCCAGAACTTTTTTGTCATCCCAAACTGAAACTCTGTTCCCATTAAATACTAACTCCCCAGCCCCTTTCCTGTTGTATATATTTTTGTTTGTCAGATCATCTCAAAAAAGAAAGTCAAACTTTCCAGTCAGTAAAAGCCTCCAATGCAGAGCAAAGCCCCATTTCCTTAAACCTCCCCAGAAGCACCTAAGACGAATCCAAGTCTGATAAGTCCCTTTACACCCTCCTGAGATGCCCACAATTCCCCATAAAGTGTGCTCTTCCTAGCTGTAATGAGTAATAAGCCCAAATTTGTTCAACAACAGGTGTGTCTTGATGGTCTTGGGGCTAGGCACTGGTGTTTTTAAGGGTACCTTGGAGGTCTACAAGCCCTGGAGTAACAGTAAGCAACGACAGAGAGATTGCCCATCCTGCATGGGAAGATCTGGGAAACAGATGAGGGGGGAAATGGTAATAAGAAACACCAGCAGCCTACTGCAGCAAATTCTCATTGCTGCTTTCCAAAGTAGTTACCATTCCCAGCCCCTTTTCCAGATGACAAAACTGAGACTTAAAGAAGTCAAGTCACTTGGCAGGCTCCCTGAAGTACCAAGAGACAGAGTCCTCTGTCCTTGCTCCTGACTTTTCTCCCAGCTGCCCACAGAGTTACTGGGAGACCATTGTGACAGTGTTGTCTGGGGAAGTTCTTTGAGTCACAATGGGCAGAGCTGGACCACTCTTGAATGCAGCCTTGGAAGGAGCACATGAGGGTCTTCTGGGAGACTGGGTACAGAGGGAGTCTTGAGGGTCAGCTCTGTGCCAAGAGCATTTTCTAAGACTCATTAGCTCTCATGCCATCCCTCAAGGTGGGTACCCTATTTCTTCATCCCTGATTAGGAAACTGAAGTTCACAAGAGCCCAGTTACTTATTCCAAGGTGACCGGCTAGTAATTTCAATTGTAAGATTCTTCCATAAACCATTTGACACCTTCTTAACTCTCAACTATTTTAGGTGGCAAAATTATGAAAAACGCAACAAACTTAGTTAGACACTGAAAAACTGTGATTTCATTAAAACCCTGATGCATGTTTTCTAAAGAGGTCAACATGAGCAAGTAGTGGTGGACTGAAGTGGGCCCGGGAGGGCTTCCTGCAGGAGGTGAGCCTGAGCTAGTGGGGCTGCTGGCACCCGAGGGCCTGATCTCCAAGGAGCAGGGAGGACGGTGGGAGAGACACATCTGCTCTGAGGAAGGCAAGAAAGTCCCAGACAACTTAACAGGATGCTGAGAGCCTGGAACTGAAGGTCAGAGCAGTGAGTGCAAGGTATGTAAAACTCTTGACAGTCTGAGGATAGGAAGAGATCCAAGGGGATAGTCAAGGCCCAGGACAATTGCAGAGGGCAGGAGCACCAGTGAGGAGGGAGGGGTATGGCAGAGAGATAAAAGTGGGTTCCCAGACATGGAAGGGAGAGCCATGGCTTTGATGACTGGCTGAGGATGAGAAGAGGAGTTCCCATATCATACAGACAGTAGAATGCAGAGTAATGCTGTGGCTCTCCCCATTGCTCACTCTGTGCCAGCCTCAGGGTCTTTACACCTGGTTGTTCATCTGCCAGGAATGCTATTCTCTAGATACCCAAATGCACTTTTTTCAGATCTCTGCTTAACTATCATCTCAGTGATGCCTTCTTTTTAAAAACTGCAACCCTCCCACCCTGAACCCCCATCCTTCTACCCTGTGTGACTTTTGTTCCCAGAGCACTGGTCACTTTCTATTTACACTGCAATTTATGTTATTATATTATTATATATTATGTAATATTAATGTATCAACATTATATATTATAATTATAGGACATAATTTTATAATGTCTTACAGTTATGGTTACAATTATGTATTGTATTATATTATATTAATATTATATTATTATATTGTCTGTCACCTCCCTGCCCCATTGTCACTCCACAAGGACAGGGTTCTTGGTCTGTTTTGTTAACTGATGTACACCTTTTCGAGGGCCTACATCCCGGCCTGGCGTGAAATAACTGTCAAATAAATTCTTATCTTACTTTTCCTGGGGGCAGAGCACAAGGGCTGCGCCTGTTTCTTACCATGCCCCTAACCCCGCGCCCTAGCCCTGCGCCCAATGCCTGGCACACATGGAGTAAAAGATAGCATGGTCCTGGAGAGCACTTTGCTCAGTCCTGTGTTCCCATCTCCTCACAGGTGGCCCTTCAACCCACGATGGCCGCGGACGCCCTGCTGCCGCCCCCGATGGCGGGGTTGGACTTCCTCAAGGCCTCGCACTTCACTCTGGGGCCGGACCCGCGGCTGCACCTGGACGCCACGCACTCCACGATGCACCGCGACTATCCGGCATACCGCGACTTCTCCCGCGCGCCGCCGTGTCCGCCGCCGCCCAAAGGGACCCTCTTTCAGCAGGACGCGCGCTGGGCCAGCCAGGAGCGCGTGACGGAAGCACACTACGCATTGGTGCCACCGCCCACGCCGTCGAGGGATCGGGAGCGGGCGCAGGCGCGGGCGCGCACACTCGCCATGCAGGCCAGTCACCTGCACGTGCACGCGGACGCGCGCGGACTCGCCTTCCTCTCCACTGCGTGCGCCGACTTCGGTTGGCCAGAACTACCGGCGCGCGACGGCGAGCAGAGCCGTGGCGCGCGCCTCATCTTCCACCGCGACTCGGTGCCACCTGGCGACAGAACCAAGCTGCGTATTCCGCCTACCACTCACCAGGCGCTCTTCCCGCCCCACGACCTGTTCCCGCAGCCGCGCGCGTCCTGCCGCCACCTCGGTGAGCGCGTCCCCACGCCCTGCGCTGTTTGCTCAACCCCAAGAACATTTTGGTTGTCACAATTCGGAGAGAGGGTGCTACTGGCGGCGAGTGGATAGAGTGGATAGTGGATGCTGCTAAACATCCTACCATGCACACAGGACAGCCACCCACAATAATTATCCAGCCCCAAAGGACAATAGTGTGAGGTTGAAAAATCCTGGAACCTCTTTGACTCTTGCTTTTTGCATCCATACCATGAGCATATCTCCTGAATCCTTTTAGGGGCTATACAGTGGGGCAGAAGTCATGAATGGTGGTTTGGGGGTCAGATAAATCTAAGTGCCCAACTCCCACCATAGCCCTACTGCCTTAGTATTCAAGTAACTATTAGCAGTTGACCTCTCAGCCTCAAAAAATGAATGCAGCCCTGACCGGTATGGTTCAGCGGTTAGAGCTTCAGCCTTGGGACCAAAGGGTCATGGGTTGGATTCTGGCAAGGGCACTGTACCTGGGTTGCAGGTTTGATCCCTGGCCCCAGTCGGGTCGTACAGGAGGCAACTAATCTAAGTGCTTCTCTCACAATGATGTTTCTCTATCTCTTCCCCTCCCTCCTTTCCACTCTCTCTGAAAAGCAATGGAAAAATATCCTCAGGTGAGGAATAATAACAACAAAAACGAATGTTTCACAGGAGCTGGTGAAGCAAAAAGAGCTCAGAGTGCATTATGCGCCTGGCACTGAGTGAGTACTCAACAAAGAGTAGCTGTCATTTGTGATTTTTCAATTCTGTTACTCCAGGGAAACTCCTGATAGATATCACTAGTCAGAGTCCCTCCAACCTGGGTCTAGAGATTGTCAAACCTGGATCCAACTCAGTTCTGGTTCTGAATTTCTTTCTTTCTTTCTTTTTTCAAAAGATGTTTTAAATTGATTTTTAGAGAGACAGGAAGGGAGAGGGAGAAAGAGAGAGAAACATTGATGGAGAGCAAAACATCGATCAGGGTGCCTCTGTGTGCCCCCTATCAAGTATCGAGCCCAAAACCCCAACATGTGCTCTTACTGAGAATCCAACCCTCAACCTTTCAGTACAATGCAATGCTCAACCAACCGAGCCACATCAGCCAGGGCTGAATTTCTGTGATTTATAACCTCTCTGAGCCTCAGAGAGGCTGTAAAGTAGAGGAGGGGGATAATACCAGCCCCCCAAAATGAGGTCAAAGCACTTAACCTAGATACCTGGCTCAATACTTGGTAGTTATTCTTGTTATTTTTATTATTTTTAGTGTTTGCCAGACAGCCCTCAGGCTAGGCTAGTCAGGACTGCACACCTCTCCTTCTCAGACAAGGAGTTGAATTGCAGTGGGCTTGAGGCTGCAGGACTTAATCCCATTCTCTCTTTCATCTTGCCATCCTCAGAGGGCTCCACCCCCCTCAAGTGGGACCACAGGAGAAGGGATGACTGGACCTCCTACCAGAGACAGTTCCAGGTCCTGATGGGCCCACCTGCCTTGATGTGTAAGAGGGTAAATTAAGTCTGCTGGTGCTGCTGGGAGGGCAGTGATGGGGCTGGTTGGCCTTGCCTTTCCCACCCCTCTCCACTCACAGGACTTCTCCAGTGTGGCACTGGGAGACTTCAAGATTGGCTATGGGCCCATGTGTTCGGAGCAGAAACAAGCCTACAGGCCCAAGGGTCTGCCGCGACACAGGTATAAAGGAACCATGACCTTCCACCACCAAGACAAGGCAAAGGGCTCTCAGTGACATGTGTAGTGTGCCACCAAAGGCTGTAAGGCCAATACTGTGCCTTTGAGGTCTCTACTACCTGCAGGCAAGGCCCACTGTATGCCAGATCTCCCCCATTAGCACCACATGCTTGGCTGCTAGGAAGCCTGCCCCCATTCCTTTTTCTGGGAGTTTCAATGGCCCAGATTAGATGGATACCCTCCCCCCCAACACACACACACACACACACACACACACACTTATATGCAGGTATGACAAGACCCAGGCCTCAGCCTACATCCATTATGTGAATATTGGTCCTGGAGATGGCCTCTTCCATGATAGGACCACCAAGGCTGAACACTTCTATGCCTGGGAACCAGGTGAGAGCCTGCTGGTTGGTCTGCCCCTGGCCCCCACAGCAGCCTCCTAGAGCTGCTCAACACCTACTCTGCCACTGGCAGAGCCTTTTGTTCTTCACAATGACCAGACTCCAGAGTCACACATCCTGGAAGGAAATTGGTGCCCTGGCCCAGGCAGCCTCACCACCTCCATGCATTTCTTCTATGGCCAGGTCAGTAGGAACTGGGGGAGGAGGCAGTGCTCATCAGGGTAAAGGGCTTCAAATGGTAGACCAAATAGTATGTGCAAAGGCCCAAAGGTAGGTGTGAGCTTGACATGTGTGCAGTGATCTCCTGGATCTATTTGCGTGATCTAGGGTAAATCCCTTAACCACTCCCAGCCTCAGTGACCCTGTCTGTAAAATGAGAAAATACCAACTCTGAAGCCATCAAGTAGGGTCCAGAGAGGGTGTCAGCTGTTCAAAGTCATACAGCAGACAACTCTTTCCTCCAACCGGGCCTTGGGACATCCTGGACACACAAGCTTTCTAGATGCCATGTGCTCTTACAGCTGCCACCAGTGACCAACCCACGCAGCCGCCACGTGCCTCATGAGAAATTGCAGAGTCATGTGACCCTAGGGGAGTTGAAATTGCTCGGACAGTTCTTCCAAACTTCCATGGGCATGGACTATTACCCCACTGGCACACAACAGCGGCAGAAAGCACTCAACCTACACTTGCTGCGTAGCAACCTGCCGGAAGGCACAGGCAGTGAGTGCAACCCTACCCCAGAAGGCTTGTCCCTGCCACAGCTCTGGCCCTGCCCATTTCTCGACTGGTTCCACCTCCTGTAGAGATAGATTCCACCCTATCGACCAAGATCCCAACTCTGCCCCTAGACAACCCACCCCCTCATGGTCATGATTCTACCTACCCCATTCACCAACTCAGCCATTGCACTGCCCCCTATGTAACCATAGTGCCACACTTTTCCTCAGTCAGACTCTGGCTTGTTTCCCTGACTCACTAGTTTACCCTACCTGGCCCCACCCAAGACATGTCTGCACTAGACCCTTCCTTGCCTGGTTGCGCCCTCCTTCTCACCTCCTAATCCATATTCAGCGCTGGCTCGGGTTCCACCCTGAACCCCTACCCCATTCTTAATCTCCTATATCCTGCCCGCTGGAGTCTGCCTCTCCTCCCTCAGCCCCTCAGTTTAGTCACCCACACCCAAATCTCCAGAGCCAGATTTTTTAACCACGAACCAGAAGATGCTGAAACCACACAGAACAGCTCCAGCCTCCATCACTGAGGAAATGCTACAGCGGGTGAGGGAGGGGGAGGGTCACCTCCCTGACCAGGTAACCCCCTCAATCAGTAATCTCAGGATGACTTTACCATCACCTCAGACTCAGAATTAGTGTCAAGTCCACTCATGGTCACTCTAGAGTTACCCAAACTCAGGGTTATCTTAATGTCATCCCAGCCTTAAGGTCATTCCAAGCTCATCCCCAGGGCCATGTCAGGGTCAGCTCAGGGACATCTTCATATTACCAGCCATGGTTATACCACAAGCTGAGGGTTAGCTCAGGGTTGCTGGAGTCATCCCAACTCTTCGGGTCATTCCAGTCACTCCCCAGTTTCTCATCCAGCTCCTGGGTCAGCCTAGATTGGGGCTCCTTTTGCCCATAACCAAGCTTTGATCCTCCCAGGGTGGTACAGGGACCATGGGGTGGCCCGAGTGGGTCAGCCACCCTCCAGGCTGCCCTGCCAGGCTACCCACACTGACTCCACAGTGCAAATATAGCCACATGGAGCCCCCGCTCGGTAGACAACACTTCTTCTCAACCCAATACGAGGACGAGTTTGCCTTCAAGTACCAGGGCCCAGCAGTGCTGAGATTGGGCAACTTCCAGGAAAGCCATGTGCCACTGGGCTCCCATCACCAGTGGGGCTACCGAGGTGGGAAGGTAGACCCTCAGCCGCCCAAGACCCTTACCTACCCATGCCCTAGCCAGCAATAAACACCACCTTGGCAACATCCCACCCCTCTCCATCAATCAGTCATGAAAGCATGCTTGGACAAGTGGGGATTGTACATACAGGGGAGATTGATTCCATCAGAAGACTCTGGAGGTCACCCCATTCTGAGCAGAAAGGTCTTGCCAGCTTGTGCAAAGACTTGGCGGACAGATTCAGTATAGGATGTTCAGATGCCATGACAATTTATGAACAACATGGAGAGAATGGAGTTAGTATTGAACATAGGCAATGTGGTGAGATGTTGAGAATGCAGCCTCCTGTGGCTGATGGACAAAGTCCAAATCCTGACTTCTCCATGTCCTGAATAGTAGCCTTGGGCAAGTAATTTAACCTCTCTGGCCTCAGTTTGTTCATCTATAAAATTGAGATAAATAGTAACTTTCTCATTGAGTGTTGTGAGAAATGGACACACATGTCAGTGTGTGTGAATGGGGGTCAAGGAGGGAGAGAGCTTACCTTCTGAAGATGAATGTGAGTAGGGGAAAGAAAGATGAAGGTGTGAGAAGGAGATTTCAATTGTTAAAAAACTGGGCAGGGCCCTGGCCGGTTTGGTTCAGCAGTTAGAGCATCGGCCCACAGACCAAAAAGTCATGGGTTTGATTCCAGTCAAGGGCACATACCTCAGTTGCGATTTGATCCCCAGCTCTGTTTGGGGTCATGTGAGAGGCAACAATCAATGTGTCTCTCTCACATCGATGTTCCTCCCTCCCCCCCTCTCTCACGTCGATGTTTTCGATGTTCCTCCCTCCTTCCTTCCCACTCTATCTGAAAATCAATGGAAAAAATATACTCAGGTGAGGATTTAAAAAAAAAAAAAAAAAAAAAAACTGGGTAGGGCTCAGAGGGGGTATGAAGAGGTTGACATAATGAGAATGGTCCTGAAACTTCCTCCATTATGGGCAGAGGTTGGGAGATGGTTGGTGGTGCACTGACTGGCTGAATGGCTGCCCCCAGGTCAGAACTCATGAAATCCATCAGGATATGATGAAGTTGAAGGGGATAGATGTCCAGCCAGCAACAGTATGAAAAGGGTGGAAGAAAGGAGAATGGGGTGGGGCCCTGAAGCCCATGGGTGATCCGTTTAACAAGCATTTAAATGACTATCACCTTGGACAGCACCCCACCATGAAGTTCTGGGGTCTGGTGAGAACAACAAGAAGCTGGGTAAGGGGAAAAGTGGGTTCCTGGGCCGCAGCACCTGGAAGAATTTGGGTGACAGGAGCAGCAGTCTCCATGGGAGCACACAGAATTACAAGTCAGTGTACAGAGATTTGAAAAATGAAAGTATCAGCATCTTTAGTTCAGCGTCCTTGGCTGTGGAGTATGTAGATTCACTTTTACTTGAAAATCTTCAGCAAGAACCATTTAAGAATGCTTGGAATTATATGTTGGACAATTATACAAAGTTCCAGATTTCAACATGGTTATTCCTGATAGTTCACGAGTCCCTTTATTTCTTGTTCTGTTTACCTGGTTTTTTGTTTCAACTTACACCTTACATGAAAAAGTACAAAATTCAAAAGGATAAACCAGAAACATGGGAAAAGCAATGGAAATGTTTTAAAGTACTTTAATCACTTTTGTATCCAGCTTCTTTTGATTTGTGGAAAATTATTTTACAGAGTATTTCAATATTCCTTATGGATAGGGAAGAATGCCAAATGGTATATGCTTTTGGCAAGATGCTTTGGTTGTGTGGTGATTGAGGATACCTGGCAATATTTCCTACATAGGCTCTTTTTTTTTATCCTCACCCAAGGACCTTTTTGCATTTATCCTCAGATAGAGCAAGAGGGAGAGAAGGAGGAAGAGAGAGAGAGAAACATCGATGTGAGAGAGACAACACATGGACTGGTTGCCACCCACACAGGGACAAACTGCAACCGAGGTACATGCCCTTAGCGGGAACCGACCCCAGGTCTTTCTGGACCAAAGGCTGATGATCTAACCACTGAGCAAATCCAGCAGGGCCCTACATAGGGTCTTACACCACAAAAAATATAAATATATTTATAAAGTTCATCATGAGTTTCAGGCTTCATTTGGAATGGAAGCTGAATATGCACATCTCCTGGAAACCCTAATTCTTGGAACTAGGTTTTCCACTGGAATTATGCTTTTATGTGATCATGTAGTTCTTCTTTGGGCATGGGTGACTGTCCATTTGCTAGAAACTATTAGTGTCCACAGTGGTTATGATATTCCTCTCAACCCTTTAAATCTCGTCCCTTTCAATGCTGGTTCTTGACATTATGATTTTCACCACATGAACTTCATTGGAAACTATGCTTCAACATTTACATGGATAGAATTTTCGGAACAGATTCAATTTATTGTCTACACCGAAGGGATGAAGATTGAGAAAAAGACTGAATAAATATTTATGTAAACATTCCTGAAGATATACATTTACCTGAACTATAACTAGTAGCTAACATTGCTTCTAGGGAGCAGAAATGAACGTGTTTTGGCTGCTGAATGATTTAAAAAATTTAACAACCTTTATCTTCCTAGTGGGAAATTTTTCTACTTTCCATTCAAGTTCTGTATGTGTAGGAATAAGTAAGAAAGTTTTTTGGGGTTTTTGTTGTTGTTCTTGTTGTTTTTATTATTTTTTAAAAATTTATTTTAGAGAGAGAGGAAGGGAGAGGGAGAAAGAGATAGAAACATCGATGAAAGAGAACACCAACTGTCTGCCTCCTCTTCATGCCCGCCCCCCGGGGGATTTGGCCTACAACTTAGGCATGTGCCCTGACTGGGAATCGAACTGCAACCTCTTGGTGCATGGGCCAATGCTCAACCAGTGAGCCACACCGGCCAGGCAAGTAAGGAGGTTTTAAAGACAAAAAGGTTTTAATAGAAGAAGTATTAATCTATGTCTTTCCCCCCAGTAACACCATATGCCTGAAGTGGAAATTGCTCTTTAAATATTTTAAATATATAGTGACCACTTCAAAAACTATTAAGAGTGGATATTAGCCTCATATTGAACTTTAAACATTTTTTTAGAGTTTGCCTACAGGTCAAAATGCCATGGGTTGATTGACATCAATTGATACTGTGTGAATGAGGCTGCAAAATCAGGACTAACCAGCACCAAGAATGTCCAATCTTATCTGGAGCTGACCAGTTTGGAGTGATTTTCTTTCTTTGAGAAGTCTTTTTGGATTCCAATGTACTACTAGCATCTATACATTAGGGTATTTCTGAATATTTTAGTCTAAAGGTTTTTACATTTCTTGAATTTTTTTAAAAATATGAAGCTTTATTTCTGCTATTTACCCTTTGATTTTTAAAAAATATGTTTTATTGATTTTTTTTTTTTTTTTTTTTTAGAGAGAGGGGAAGGGAGAGAGAATTAGAAACATCGATTGGCTGCCTCCTGCATGCTCCCTACTGGGGATCAAGCTGGCAATCTGGGCTTGTGCCCTGACCGGAATTCAACTAGCAACCATGGGTCAATTCTTAACCACTGAGCCACATTGACTGGGCTACCCTTTAATTTTTGAAAATAAGGTTTTTAGTACACTTAAAGCCATATCTTGAAACTTTGTGAACTGACTCGTATTTGCACTTTGAGCTATTAAATGTGTTTTTTGGGGGGTAAGGGGGGTAGACAGAGGGGAGGAAGAAGCTGATTGGTTTACTCTGGGATAAGATGGGTCTTGGTGGCCATACCCATGGACTGCCTCTGTAGGCTGTTGAGAATCAGTTTCAAAGAATGAATATGATTCCCTGACCCTGTAGTTAGATCTTCAAAAGACCAAGGCCCCCTGCCCTGGCTAGGTGGCTCAGTTGATTGGACTGTTGTCCTGCACACCAAAAGGTTGTGGGTTCGATTACAGATTAGTGCACATACCTAGGTTGTGGGTTTGATTCCCAGTTGGGAGACAACTGATCGATTTTTCTCTGTCACATCGATGTTTCTCTCTCTAAAATCAATGAACATATCCTAGGGTGGGGTTAAAAAAAAAAAGACTAAGGCCCCCAATCCCATGGGCCACTAAAAGCCAACCCCAAACATGGCCAGGAGCCCATTTCCCATGGGCAGCATTCTGTGAGGCTATGTTGTCATTTCTACAGAAATGACAGTTCAGCTTCCAGTCCTACAGAGACAAGATGGCCATTTTGGCTGCACTCTTGGTATCCCTGTTGACCATGAAAGGGTCTGCTGGCCGCAGAACACTCTTCTACTCACTTCCACTAAAGATGTACATGGCACTCTCCTGAGTTACTTCATGAGAAACCAGGGTTTCTCAATCTCGGCACGATTGACATTTTGAGTGAGATCATTCTCTGTTGTCAGAGGACATGTTGTGCTTTGTAGGATGTTTAGCATCATCCCTGACCTTTAACTATTATATGCCATTAGCACACTCCCTCTCCCCCACCCAGTTGTGACAACCAAAAAGATTTCCAGACATTGCCAAATGTCCTCTGGGGGAGAATTGCCCTGGTTGAGAACCATTGCAATAAATTTATCCTACAATGATTCCCAGGACAAAATCAGGTTCTCCTGATGAAGCTGGTCTGCATATTGAGCAGAGTACTCAATCAAAAAGGCTTTTCATTTTTGCCTTGCCTGCCAGAAAGTTCAGAAAGCTTGTTTTAAAGTTCAGTTCCATGTAGCTACAGTTGCAGGATTTTTTTTGTGTGCTCCTTCCTGGTCCTAGGAACCCAGACACAAGGTGAGAAACAATGGGTCGGAGTTACAAGGAAGCAGATTTCAGCAAAACTTGAAGCATTTTCTAACAATGAAACTGACCAGCCCCAGGATGGGTTGCTAAGAAAGGAGAAATCTTACTGGAAATATTTAATCAGTGCAGAAAAACACAACATCATGATGATTTGGGGTGTACTTTATGTTGATCCCTCCTATATCCCACTCCCCTTCTAAAGGGATTTCCTGTGAACTGAAAAAAAAAAAAAAGGCTTATGAAATAAGATGAATAGGATTGAATATAAAGGAAAACAATTTTGTCGATGGTAAGCATCACTAAGCAGCAGAATTCAGACCTGCCATTTACCTGTATTTCTGTCCTTCAACAAGCGATGTCATGCTGAACTTCATTTTCCTCTTTGGTAAAATGGGGATGACAACAGCTCTTCCTTCATAGAGTGGTAACGGGTTAAATAAAATGCACATGAACCATGCTTAGAGCATGGCCCAGAACTCTGCTGTAGTTTAATGAATGGTGCCTAAGTTTCATTAATGCCTCAAATAATTTTTGTTGCAAGTGACAAAAACCCAGCTCTAGCTCAAGTAGAAAGGGGTTTTATTGACTTAGAATTAAGACAGCCTGGAATTATGTCTAACATCAGACATGCTGGTTCCACATCAGGACTCTTTCTCTCAATCTAACAATCCCAAGTCCCTCCAAATGGTAGCAAATAAAAAAGGATACTGGCACCCCAAATCCTAAAATTAAAGCCCCAAAGGAAAGAGGGTCCTTTCTTCCTCCCAACTCATATTAGAATTTAAGGAATACTCTGATTGACCCATTAAAGTCACATGCACAGCACAAATCTTAGAGGTCCTATTCACTTTACAGGGGATATGTGTGTATGTGGTAGCCCTGGCCCCCTATCTCACCTTTGCTCAGCCAATTTCACATTTTAAGTTATTTGCTTTAATACTCTCCCCGTTCCAGGTATTCATTTCTAAATTAGTCAAGACTATCATAGATACAAGGGACAGAAACCAAATAAAAGTAGCTCAAATATCCATGAAATTTGTTGGCTCATAATATTGGAAAGAATATGGCTTCTGGCTTCAGGTATGGTTATAACCAAGAGCTCTACCAATATAGCCAGAGATATGTCTCTCACCTTTACATCCTGGTGTAGATTGGCTTCAGTCTGCAGACTATTCTTCCAGACAACAAGGAAGGTGGCTGCAGGTAGAATTAGGCTCTATATAAAGCTCATGATCCCAGAAGCATGAGACCCTCCAAAGTCATGTTTTCATCTCAGATCTAATTATTGTGGCCAGGAGGTGGGATTCTTTGATAAGTGTAGATCACATGGTATGCGGTAGTTTTGTTAAATACAGGTTCATCTGGAGTAGTGGAGGGGGATCCACAAAGGGAAAGCAAGGTGCTGGTAGAGATACTAAGCAGACGGAAACAACAGCTGTCATTACAAGTATTATTTGCAATAGGGTCATCCAGGAGGTGGCAGGGTAAAGAACCAGCAACATAATACAATTGCAGTCTCTTTAACACAAAGAGGTGAAAAGCAGGTCTCAGGCCCCAAGTTCAGCACAGATCTAGAAGGTTCAGAAAGAAAGAGAGACAACGCCTAGAGGACTGATTTGCTCAAGGCTATATTCTAGGGTAGGTAATGTCAAAGTTCACCAGGCAAAGACCATCAGAAACACACCTGTGGCCAAAAAAATTTTTTTTAGCTTGCTCCAGCAAGGAAGACCACATACTAGGAAACCATGGAGCACCTCTGTAAGAGAGAGTTGGGAGCAGGTGGGCATCTTATAGGATTGGGACATGTGCTGGATAGTTTTGAGGAGAGTTAAAGAGAGTAGAAGCAATTCTCGGTGCTGTTGGGAAGCAGGGAGCTGTTAATCTCAAAAGTGGAGCTGTCATTGGTAAGCAGCAGTCATTTCAGTTAGTCAGGAGGAGATATGTATTCACTTTTGTGGTTGCAGAGTGCCCTTGTTTCTGGCTTGGTGCAGACATGGTCACAGAGTGGCCTTGCATGATCATTGTTTATATTCTGTAACTGTTGTTTATGTTCAGTGAAGAACATCATGGCTGCCAGCTGCGACCTGTTTTTCATTCCTTCACAGTAATCTTTGTCTCCAGATAAAGTCTGCCCAGAGTCCTTCCCAGTCTCAGCCCATGCTTCTTCCAGAGACCATCACTCCAGGGAGTGTCCAGGCACAGGGTGACAGCAGTGAGTAACTCTCAACTGGGTAGGAAGAGGGAAACACTCAGGCACAAAATTTCCAGCTCTTCCTTGGAGAGCCTTAAAAGGGAAAGGCTGGATTAAGCAAAGATAAAGAAGTTTGTAAATTGCAGGGCTTCTCAGAGCCCTGACTATGCTTATGTGCTCTGCCAGTCTGTAAGAGAAAAACAAAATGTTTGGCGTTACAGAGTCAGAGACATGGGCAGGAGGTAGAAACAGAGAGAGAGGGAGGTGGGATGGGGGAACAGAGGCAGAAAAAAGTGACAGGTACAGAGGCAAAAGGATGGAAATAGAGACACAGAAATAGAGACACAGAGAGAGGAGCAGAGATTATCAGGGACGGAGATGGAGACAGAGACAAGGACAGAGAGGGACACAGGCACAGCAGAGGGCGAGCCGGGGGCTGCGCAGGCGGGGCGCGGCGCAGACAAGTGCGCGGCCGCGCGGCCGCGCGGTCTGGGCTGCCAGGTCGGGACAAAGGCTAGCGGGGGTGGGGGTAGAGGGGCTGACAGCAATGGCGAAGGCCGCAACGGGCGCGGGAGAACTACAAGTCCCAGCAGCTCCCGCTGCGGCCTTCGGCCGGCCCCTCTCGATCCCCGGGAGCGCCTGGCAGGACCGCTGGGCCGAAGGTGCTGCTGTCGGGGCTAACGGGCGGGGCGCTATCTGCGGGCCCCTGGGGCACCGGCGGGCGTGGCGACCGGGAAGGGGTGAGGGGCATCGGGTGAGTGTTCTCATGAGCGGGTCAGCGGACGAAGGCTTGGGTGGCGGTGGGCCGGGAACCTCCATGCATGGTGCGGCCCAGTGCGACCTCCGCGCGACCCCCGCCGCGCTCCGGGGCCAGGAGAGCAGGCTCCTGGCGCGATACTAGGTGTCCAACGCCCTGAAGGCCTAGCGCGCCCAGTCCGCCGCTGCGGCACCGGGGAGGGCCTGGCCCGAGCCGGGCGCCTTAGATAGGGCAAGATTGGAGGGGGGGGACCCCTCAGCTATGGGGTGGGGTGTTCAGGACGCCCCCTCCTCTAGAGGCGCTCCAGACCCTCACCCCTGAGGAACCCAGGAGGAGCCCCAGGTATTGTTCTCCCCACTCTGAACCTGTGAGTTCAGAATGCCCTTTCTCAAGAGGGGGATCCAGGGATTTCCTCTTTCCCCCAGGACCCCAGTTATTGTTCCTCTCACTCTCCAGTCTGGGAGTCCAGAGTTCTGGAAGCGACTTTCCCAGAAGGGATCCAGGAACCCAGGAGGAGACCCAGGCATTTTTCCCCCACCCTCCAACCAAGGGTTCTGGATAGAGGAGGTAATCTAGGAATTTAGCCCCCTTCATTTGCTTACCCACTCCCAGCTATGGATTGTGGCCCAGGCTGTCTCCCTTCCCAGGAGTGGTCCCCCCTGTCCCTCAGGAACTGATTTATGTGCTCCCAGCCCCATGCCCAGCCGTGGGGTGGGTATCTTAAGGCATAACCTCCCATCGTGTAATCCTGAGCTCCCCCTGCTCCCCAGAAGGGGTCCCAGCTATTGTTTGTCTACTCCCTTCCCTACCTCCAGCCTGGAATGCAGGATCTTTCCTCCAGGAGAGGACAAAAGTGTCCTGACATCCGCATACCCCATCCATAGGGTCAGTCACTCAGGAATCTCCCCTCACTAGGAGTTGACTCAGGGGTCCCCCCAGTCACCCAAGAGGGACCCCCAGGTATTATTTCTGCCCAGCTACCAGTTAGGGGCTAGAATTCAGGATCTTCTATCCAATTCCCCACCTCCTACTTTAGCTTTACGAACTGGTATTTGGGAACACAGGTGTTTAGACAGTTACTCCCACTCTGGAACTGTGGGCAGGGCCTGGCATTCGGGTGGTCTCTTCCCCAGGAAGCGAGCCAGGGGTGCTCCTGCACTCCCCCAGGGACCCGAAAGCACTACCAGATGTGGTTTGTCCCCCACCCTCATCCCCTCGATATAGGCTTCTAAGTTCAGGATGCTTTCTCTCTAGAACTTGAGCCAGAGGTCCCCCTCCCTACCAGAAACTCCCAAATATGCCACTCCCAATTATGGGACAGGAATTCAGGCCATTTACTTAGAAGCAAGCACAGGAACCCTGACACCCACCCTCTTCCCTACGAGGGGTAGGAACCTAGGACTCTCTTTCCACAGGACCCAAGCTTTCCACAAGAGGAGGAGTCCAGGATGGAGACAGGGACAGAGCCATGGAGTTGGGTACTGGAGACCTCTAGTGCCATATCCCATGACTTCCATCCAGGTGTGGGGCTAAGAAGGGAGGGGCCCCCCATGTCCCACCAGGGTTCTCCCTGCCCTGGCTGGCTAAGGCGAGTCACAAGTCTCCCTGTGGTCTGAAACAAGAGAAAGATCCATGTGTATGTTCAGAAGTGGGTTTGGGGGCACAACTTGGCCACCTATCCCATCCCTGCCCAGGCTCCAAAAGGGACCCCCTGCTCCCCAGAACCTACCTCTGCCCACTCTGTCCTCGCCCTGCAGATCCTGCCCTGGAAGCAGCTGGCACTTCCACACCTGGGATACGGCGCTCAGTCTTGGTCAGGAACCCAGGCCACAAAGGCCCGAGACCTGCTTTTGAAGAACTTGACTCAGACTCAGAAGACCTGGACCCCAAACAAGAAGACCCAGAGCCTAACCTGGAAGACCTCAACACTATCTCTGAAGATGTGGACCCCAGCTATGAAGATCTGGAGCCCATCTCTGATGATCTGGACCCCAGTGCAGAAGCTCCAAGTTCCATCTTAGGGACCTGTGCCGTGGATCCCCAAGATCTTGACCCCATGTCTTCAAGTTTTGATCTTGATCCAGATGTCATTGGCCCTGTCCCCCTGGTCCTTGACCCTAACAGTGACACTCTCAGTCCCCCAGAAGCCCCAGACCTGGACCCCCTCTCATCCAGCCTCACTGCCACCCCAGAAGGCCTGGCCACCAGCCAGGCGGTGCTCCCTGCACCTGCTAGTCCTCCCCGGCCCTTCTCCTGCCCTGATTGCGGTCGAGCCTTCCGTCGCAGTTCGGGGCTCAGCCAGCACCGCCGCACCCACAGTGGCGAGAAGCCCTACCGCTGCCCTGACTGCGGCAAGTCGTTCAGCCATGGTGCCACACTGGCCCAGCACCGGGGCATCCACACAGGAGCACGGCCCTACCAGTGCGCTGCGTGCGGCAAGGCCTTCGGTTGGCGCTCCACGCTTCTGAAGCACCGCAGCAGCCATAGCGGCGAGAAGCCCCACCACTGCCCCGTGTGTGGTAAGGCCTTTGGGCATGGCTCACTGCTGGCTCAGCACCTGCGCACTCACGGGGGACCTCGGCCACACAAGTGCCCAGTGTGCACCAAAGGCTTCGGGCAGGGCTCGGCGCTGCTGAAGCACCTACGCACGCACACAGGCGAGCGGCCCTACCCGTGCCCTCAGTGTGGCAAGGCCTTCGGTCAGAGCTCAGCACTGCTACAGCACCAGCGCACGCACACGGCTGAGCGCCCCTACCGCTGTCCCCACTGCGGCAAGGCCTTTGGCCAGAGCTCCAACCTGCAGCATCACCTGCGCATCCATACTGGCGAGAGGCCTTATGCCTGTCCCCACTGCTCCAAGGCCTTTGGGCAGAGCTCCGCACTCCTGCAGCACCTGCACGTGCATTCTGGAGAGCGCCCCTACCGCTGCCAGCTCTGTGGCAAGGCCTTCGGCCAAGCGTCCAGCCTCACCAAGCACAAGCGAGTGCATGAAGGTGCAGCTGCTGCAGGTGCAGCTGCTGCAGGTGCAGCTGCTACAGCTGCAGCAGCTACAGCTACAGCTCCTGCAGCTGGCCTGGGCCTTAGCCCTGCTTCAATGTTGCAGCCTGAGCAGGTCTTCTTGCAGAGTCCTGATGCTGTCTCTATGCTTAGCTCTGACCTGGGCCCCAGCTCTGGCCTGGACCCTGACCCTAGCACTGTGCTGGGCTCCCTCCCCAATCCTAGCCCCAAACCTGGCCCTGACTCTGGATCTACCCCCACTCTGGATCCTGTCAAGTCCTCTGATGCTAAGCCTGGTCACGATGCCAATCCTGATCTTGTGGCCAGCCCTGACAATGGATCTGATCACAGCTGGGACCCAGATCCTGGGCCCAGCCTCAACCCCAACCCTGAGTCCCACCCTGACTCCAGCTTTCCCACCCATGACAGCTCAGCCCTCACTACCTGTGGGAGTCCCAAGTGGGTGCAGGAGCAAGGGGCACTACTGGGGCCAGATGGCTGAAGGGAATGCCAGCACCCACGGAGGCCTGGTGAAGTTGTGTGTTGTACAGTTAGTAAAATCCTCCCACTGCCTTCTGGCTCTGTTTCATGGTTCTGTTTCTTTTTCCCCTAATGCCCAGCTCCTTGGGAAATGGGAAGGTGTGGCCTGAGTCAGCCATACATCAGGAATTCCAATGTTCTGGGTTCCCCTAACATCCTCCAGGCTTCCCAGCTTCCCCCATCTCAGCAGTCACCACTGTGCTCCCCCAGACCTGGTCACCTTAGTCAGGAGCAGATTTACCCTGCAGGTGTTCTGAGCAGCATCACTTCCCTTTGCTTTATCCGAATAGTTGGATTTATGACATATTAAAATTAGTGGGCTGATATGAAGCTATGTGGACAGTCTTTCCTTGTCCCCCTAACTTATCCTTTACCCTTCCAAGTCCACATTATAAGTATACCACTGGACAATGGAGGTTGCTCATTTATGCATTCAACTAACATCTGTTGAGAGCTCACAGATGGGAATGATTAAAAAGTAATTGCAGGGGCCCGGCTGGTATGGCTCAGTGGTTGAACATCTACCCATGCACCAAGAGGTCACGGGTTCAATTCTCAGTCAGGGCACATGCCCAGGTTGTGGGTTAAATCCCCAGTGGGGGGCATGCAGGAGGCAGCCAATCGATGTTCTCTGTCATCAATGTTCTCTCTCTAAAATCAATTTAAAATTTTTTTAAAAAAATTACAGGGTATGGTACACTCTAAAAGTATACAAGGGCCCTGACCGGTTTGGCTCAGCGATTAGAGCATCAGCCCACAGACCAAAGTGTGGCAGGTTCAAGTCCAGTCAGGGGCACGTACCTGGGTTGCAGGTTGGATCCTCAGGCATCATACGGAAGACAACCGATCTATGTGTCTCACATGGCTGTTTCTTTCTCCCTCCCACTCTCTTAAAAAACAAAAAATCAATGGAAAAATATCCTCAGATGAGGATTAACAAAAAATAAATAAAAGTATACAAGACTTCTGATTTAAGTCGGGGACAGCTTTCCCAAGGAAGGGCTATAATCCCAGTAACCCCTAATTTAATCATCAGCACTGTTTGCCCAGCCTTGTGCTATTCTTTTGCATTTTCTCATTTAATTCAACAGCTCCATGAGGTGGGCAACTATGATTGAGCATCCCCATTTTGCAAATGATGAAAATCAGGTACATGGAGTTTAAGGGACACACTTTGGAAGGCAGTTGGCAGAGCCTAGATTTAAACCTGAATTGTCTGCCCCCCAGAGGCTATGTTCTTAACCATTATGCTCCAGGGCAAGAGTGCTCAAAGGCCCTGGGGCTTTGAAAGATGAGCGAGGGAGGGGAGGACCAGAGGACCACTGGTAGATTACAGTAAGGAGTTTGTCATCTCAGAAAAATGGGAAGTCACTGGGGGTTCTGGGGCAAGACTGATGAATTATTCTTTGCAGATGCTTCTGGCTGCTAGATGGAGAGTATAATGGAAGGGGCCAAGAGTGGGAGTCTAAGATCAGAGAGGAGGTTGCCGTAGGCCACGAATGGTGGGAGACTCTGGGCTGAGAGCCATACAAGTAGCAATAAGTGGTCCTATTTGGAATATAATTAGGAAATGAAATAGGATTTGCTGTTGGTCATGTGAGAGGGGGCAGAAGAGGAAAAGTTTGAGAGTAACCCGGGAATTTCTGGAAGGATGGAAGGAAACAACCCTTAGAAAAATGTAGGGTGATCACCGGACATCGCGGACATGAAAGTCAAGTTGTTGGCACTGGACACGGGCATGACGGAGCCAGCCCATCCCCCAGCATCTTGCTTGCCCTTCGGCGCTAGGGCCTCGCGACCGCCCTTGATTGGCAAGTCGCCCACAGAGGCGCGCATGCACGCCGCTCTGGCAGGTGGGGTCGTGGAACAGGGGACAGGGCTGGATCCGGTCACGTGCCTCTAAGGGCTGCCTGGGCACGTGACCAGGGCGCAAGTCAGCTGATGCTCCAGGGTCTGAGGCAGCATCCCGGAGGAACGAGACCGCAGTGACAGCGGCGGGCGCTGGTGCCCCGGCTGCTCCGCCGCGCCCGCCGGTTTCCGGCGCTCGAGGCCCGGGTATGGCCGCTCGCGTGGGCCGGTGTGGTTCAGGTGAGGACGCGGGCCACAGGCGGGCGGGCGGCCAGCTGTCTGACCTGGGGCGGCGGAGTACCCAGTTTCCCTTTCCCGAACTCCGGTGCTGACCTCTCAGCTTTCCCGCGGTGGAGATTTGGAGTCCGTAAGGCTCCTAGAACCTGGGAGGTGGGTGGGCACCGGCTTCTCCTACCTCGAAGTGGTGGGACTCCCGGCTGCCTTTCCTGGACCCAGGCTGTGCTTGGAGTTCCTAAACTCAGACAGTGGGCGGGCCGATAGCTTCTCCAACTCGGGGCAGAGAGGTTCCTATTCTGAGCCTAGGTTGCGATTGCCCAGCTTTGCTGGAACTCATCAGGCACCAGCTTCTTCAACCCACACGAGACTTCTAGGATTTCCTTCCCCAATCTAGGAAGTAAATGCTCAGCTTCTCTAAACTGAGGACTGCGGGGATTCCTCCTTGAGCCTAGGCACCTAACTCGATTTCAGATCTCCAAATTCATGGAAGCTCAGCTTTCCTGAACTCAGGCGTTGGGTGCCAGCCTCCAATTTCTTCAGTTTCCCCCTCTCATGGGGGAGCCTGAAGGAAGACCCTTTGTGTTGATCTTACCTTCTTGACTTAACTGGAGACACCTTTTAGGTGTTGCCCTGGCCAGTTTGGCTCAGCTGTTGGAGTGTCAACCTGCGGACCAGAAAGTCCCGGGTTCGGTTCCACTAGGGGCACATACAATGAATGAATGAATGAATGAATGAATGAGGAAAGGAAAGGTCTCACCTGGTAGGATCTGGGGTGGGTTAGCTAAGATCCCAGCTATAGAGGCAGGCCTACTCTCTGGTTTCCATCCAGCTCTCTTATAAACACTGGCAAAAGCATCCAAGCTCTAAAGGGACCAGTCAGGAGCTGGCCCTCCCTGCAGAACAGGTTCTGGCAGTGCCCATGATCATCTTGGTGACAGTGCCAGGCAGGGGGCCAGCCAGGCCCTGGAAAGAAGTTGGGTTCTCCCTGTGGGGGTCGAGGGGGTGTGTCAGGGACATTTCTGGGCTGCTGTGACCAGCTATGACTCCAGCAGTTGCTAAAACCTTGGACCTTCCTCTTAGTCTGGTTGGGATTGAAGGGAATAAGCAGTACTTAGAATAGCCTCAGTTTCGTGAGAATTTCTGAGACTTGGACTGAGCTGCTTTGCCTCACTCCATTCAGGAAGCATTTTCAGGGTTTTAGCCTCAGGGGAGACTTTTTTTAAATTTCCACTTTTCAGATGAGGAGACTGAGACTTAGAAAGGTCCTGGGGTCCCCCAATCAAGAAGTGGTAAGTCTGGGATTTGGTCCTAGGGCTGTGTGATTTCCAGGAGCTGGTAGCCTTAACGAATATACCGTATTAGCTCATAAAATGACATAGGCAGTGCTGTAATAACATCTACTGACACACAGTGAGTCTTCAGCAAATGCATTCCCTTATCACCATAATTGTTGATCTTCCCTTCTCCACGCCTGTGGCTTGTCAGAGTGTCAGCTGGACAGACCAGGTCATGATGAGTGGGAAGAAAATACTGGAATGTTGCTGAGTTCCATGTTCATGCCTGAGGGCTGGAGTTGGGATGGGCTCAGAGCCTTGAGTGCCCTGTGAGAAGCCAGTGAAGCAATTCATTCCCTCCCCACAAATCAACAGGAACAATGATGGAATGTCCTGACATTCTTAGCACCTACCAGCCCCTGTGACAAATACTTTGTAAACATCAAATCCTCAGCTTCCTATGAGAGATGCTATTGCCACATTTTGCAGATGAGAAACTGAGGCCCAGAAGGGCTAGGTGCCCTGTCCATGCCAGTGAGCATCAGGGTCCATAATTAACTCAAGCCCTTTGAGTCCCAAACCCAAATTTGCAACCTCTGAGCAGCACTACTGCATATATCCAAAAAATGTGATAGCTTTTTGGTTTTCTTAGATTTCCCAGAATTCTTTCTTGGCTGGAATGTGAGATCTGCCTTCCCTGTTGGGAGGTGGGCCTGCCTGGGCCTGATCCCTACTGTTCTTTCCCATTCCCACAGAGACCGAGCACCTCTTAACCTCCAGCCTCGGGTATGGGACCCAAGCAGGGGCTTCACCGGCCCCTTCAACCCCACTGGAAGAGGAAGATCTCCGCCGCCGTCTCAAATACTTCTTCATGAGTCCCTGTGACAAATTTCGGGCCAAGGGCCGCAAGCCCTTTAAGTTGATGCTGCAAGTGGTTAAGATCTTGGTAGTCACTGTGCAGGTGAGAACTGTGGAAGGCCCAACAGAATGCTGCTTGTGGCCACTGTTTTCCTTGAAGGAGAGTTTGGGAGTCAGAATCTTTTCCTGACCCTGCAGCAGCACAATAGCAGTGATAAATCAGAAAACCCTCTGAGCTCTGTATGTAAGCAGCTCCTTTTAACCTCACACACGCCCCCATTTTATAGATGAGGCAGTTGAGGCTCAGCAAGGTTAAGGGACTTGTTCATAGTCGCAGAGCAACCAAGATTAGGATTTTATGGCACTTGAACCAAGCAATCTGATGCCATGAGAACTGACCCAGTGGCTAAACAGATAGTTGCCCTCCCCATGCCAGGTCCTGAACTGGGGTCTAGTGATTCCAAGATGAGTCAGACCCTGCCCCTGCCCCTGACCTAGGGAGCTATGACTTTGGGTATGTAACTATGATTCTAATTTCCCCTTGGTAAAGGGGCTCAGCACTGTGGTACTTACCCTGTATGTTTGGGTTTAGCATGGAAATTGGCATCAGGTAAATGTTTCATGAACATTAGTTGCTACCCTGAGGTATATGAGTGCCCACTGTGTGCTATGCATTGGGAACAAATGGTGGTCATGGAAGATGGGGACATGTGACTTCATGAATGGGTCCTCTTATCTTCCTCCATTCATGCACTGAGGGAGATCCCATCCCAGTAGTATCAACCCCCAGTCCCTCCCGCCAGCTCATCCTGTTCGGGCTCAGCAACCAGCTGGCAGTGACATTCC